GCATGCAAGGCAAGCGCTCTACCACTGAGCCATCTTCCCAGCCCATCCCTGAGATTTTCTGCTCAAGCCAGCACTCTACCACTTGAGCCAAAGCACCATTTCTGGCTTTTTCTGTGTATGTGGTACTAAGGAATCGAACCCAGGGCTTCATGCATGCTAGGCAAGCACTCTACCACTAAGCCACATTCTCAGCCCTGTTTTCAGAACTTTTTCTTATTAACATATAGTGATTCTACAAAGTGAAGGGTTTCATTATGACATTTTCATACATTCATGTAAGCCAGAGTTTTAATATTAGGTAGGGACAATGGCTTGGATATCAACAAAGGCTAAAAGCAATTTTCTCCCTTCCTATACTAACATATCCTTCCCCATTTGGGGCTGAACAGTTGATGGAAGCCCCCCAGAACCTGCAGAAGTTGGTGCCCAGGCAGCTACTAATAAAGAGCAGATACTGATCTTACCACAACTGAGAGGTGCTGGTGGTGGGGAGGGCCATGGATGGTGGAAGATGATGTGGAACAGACGCATTGTGTTCTCAAAATTATGCTTGTTTTGATGATGAGGATTTACTAGTGAAAAGCCTTGATTTCATTTTCTCTGGTGGCCTTTCCATACCTCCTTCCAACAAGGAAGGAAGTGGGGCACTGCTGGGGAGTCTCTGGTAGATAACTTCTCAATAATCTCACACCTGCTCTCTTCAGTCACAGAAATGAGTGTTGTGAAACACTTAGTTTTGGGGGGAAAAAAACAAACCTGGAGTATATGACTATTGGGAAGGAAGCTTCTGTCCTGTTTGCCAAACTTCCTTAGCCACATCACATTTACTTCTCTGCTCTCCCTGAGTCCATCTGTGCTCAGCATTGGCTTGTTTCTTGATCTTATCTGTCTCCTCACCCAGGTCAGAATCGTTTCCCTGGCTGTAGATGCAAGACCCAGTGTAATACCAAGCAGTGTCCTTGCTATCTGGCAGTACGAGAATGTGATCCTGACCTGTGCCTCACCTGTGGGGCTTCAGAACACTGGGACTGCAAGGTGGTCTCCTGCAAAAACTGCAGCATCCAACGTGGCCTCAAGAAGGTAGGACCTTTGTTCAGGTCAAGATAATGGAGTGGGATTGAGGGAATAGTCCCAGGCATCTTCTTTCCCTTGGTTTCTCTCTCTCTCTCTTTTTTTTTTTTCTTTTTGCTGGTCTTGAGGCTTGAACTCCAGGCCTGGGCATTCTCCCTGAGCTCATACCTGTAATCCTATACTCGGGAGCCTGAGATCTGAGGATCACGGTTTGAAGCCAGACCAAGCTCTTATTTCCAATAAACTATTCAGAAAAAGCAGAAGTGGTGCTGTGGCTCAAGTAGTAGAGTGCTAAGCCTTGAGCAAAAGAAGCTCAGGGACAATAGATCCTAACACACATTGCCATATTTTTCATAAGTTTTCTGTTCTACTTCAGGATCAGAAAAGTGGCCATTTTACTGCCAAACTGAATGGTGCTCAGAGGGGGATATGGTACCACAAAGCTATACCCCCAGCTCCAAAGCCGTCCATGTTTGCCTCCCATATAGCCCAGGAGGTCCTTGGGGAGGAGGAGGACACGTCTTGTTTTCTTTCTCCACCTCCCTGTCTTGTTTTTCCTCTGACTAGATTAGAATAGCTTAGACTTCTTTCTGTTTTCAGATCCTCCTAATAGTGGCTAGATCTTTCCACCTGCCCACCCCACACACCCCTACTTACTGATAACCCACCCTTTCATCTGAGGCTTGCCTCCCTCTCCCCCAGCACCTGCTGCTGGCCCCTTCCGATGTGGCCGGATGGGGCACCTTCATTAAGGAGTCTGTGCAGAAAAATGAATTCATATCTGAATATTGTGGTGAGGTGAGTGCTATGGGTTTGGCCCATATTCTTACTGATGAGAAACTCTGATTTTCTGTGGGTTAGGCTTCTGTGACTTAATCTCTAAATAACTCAGCTAAGTTCTCATGTGACCTCTTGGGGGATCCCACAGAACTGTTTGCAGTCCCGAAACAAACCACTGTTCTTCAATTCGTTGGCACCTCAAGACAGACCAAGGAGAGAAGGGGGGGGGCATCTCTTCAGCTTTAATGCTGGTCAGCCTGAGTGGGAATGGAAACAATGTAGGCTGGGCTCTCATACAATTCTCATCATAATACTCAGTAAGCCCCTAACTCTAATAGTGCCTCTTCCCTATCCCTTTTCTGGAGGTGAGGTGCTATGTTCCAAGCAGACAGCCTGACTTTCAGTTGTTCTTTGTGTATCTCTCCAGCTCATCTCTCAGGATGAAGCTGACCGAAGAGGGAAGGTCTATGACAAGTATATGTCCAGCTTCCTTTTCAACCTCAACAATGGTATGTCATTGGCAGCTCTTTCTCTTTTGCCAAGGTGGTCTTGTGCGGGTCTACCAAATTGCTTTTGCTATAGTCCAGGTTGAGACCACCTCTGAATCTTCAAGCAGATACACAGAACAAGGTGTAAGATTGATCAGAACACCTCCATTTTGGAGTTGTGTACCTCAGCAACCTCCCTGCTCAGAAGATGGGAGGAGGAGAGCCACAACTGAAACAAGGAAGGAGGACCCAAAGGGAGCATTCTCACACGAGCCAGAATTTTCCAGCTTCGTGCTTTCCAAGGATCCTGTTACTCACTGGGCTTCACATTACTATTGAACTGAATTGTTTCTGTTACTGTTAACTGATTTTAAACTCAGGCTACTGAAGTTTGGAGTCACTTGTCTTCTCATGGTCTTCTTTATGTATGTTATACAGATTTTGTTGTAGATGCTACCCGGAAAGGAAACAAAATTCGATTTGCAAACCATTCAGTGAACCCCAACTGTTATGCCAAAGGTGAGGTTCCAATAACCTACCAGGTGGGGTGGATGCCTTGTTTACTATGACTTCTATTCTTTGTTCAACTTTTTCATAGCTGAGCTATTTTTTTTGTCCAAAGATAACCATGATTAGAATCTGGCATCATTTTAGGCTTTGTCTCTTTTATAACCCACTTTTTTTATTATTATTAAAAGCATGATCTAGGGCTGGAAATATGGCTTAGTGGTAGAGTGCTTGTCTAGCATGCGTGAAGCCCTGGGTTCAGTTCCTCAGTACCACATAAATAGAAAAAGCCAGAAGTGGTGCGGTGGCTCAAATGGTAGTGTGCTATCCTTGAGTGAAAGAAGCTCAGGAACAGCACCCAGGCCCTGAGTTCAAGCCCCAGGACTGGCAAAACATAAAATAAAAGCATGATCTAACAAATCCTATACAAATGATCTAAAGATAATTCTTTCCCCATATCACTACAGTGGTAACATCCAAAAGCATATTGACAACTACCTTCATTGAAAACTTTCTAATTCCACTTTACTGAGAATTTGGAGAAAATCAGCCTAGAATTTTCCTGAACATTGATATACAGTGACTGGGAAGCTAGCTTTGGGTTTATCCTATTTGCAGTGGTCATGGTGAATGGAGATCATCGCATTGGGATCTTTGCGAAGAGGGCAATTCAGGCTGGTGAAGAACTCTTCTTCGATTACAGGTGAGGTGGTCAGGAATGATCCTGGAGAGGGAGCCTTGGTGGCAGAAAGGGTAGCTATTGGAATTGATTTGGGGCCAAGGGTGGGTAGGAAGGATGAAGGAAGGGTCCCATCGTGGTCAACGCCACTGCCCATCTCCAATGCCTTACTCAGAGCGGGAACATTGCAAATGATTTTAGGGAGTATGAGGGGAAGTAAAACAATCACAAAAGCCTCAAAAATAACCTCTTCCCCCCTGCTCTGGGACAGGTACAGCCAAGCTGATGCCCTCAAGTACGTGGGGATTGAGAGGGAGACCGATGTCCTCTAGCCCTACTGGCCCTGCACCAGGCACTGTCTGTTCATGCACACACCACTGCAGCTCAAGCCCCTGCACTATGTGTCTTCCACACCAAGAAACCCCACCCGCTCCCTCTGTAGCAAGGCCTCAGCTGTGTCCCAGAAGGACAAACCATCTCAGTGAGAAGAGGGAAGACAGAGACAACCATGGCTTGGTCTTCCAGGCAAGAAAGCTCAAATGTGGAGGTTGCATCTCAACCTGAAGAGGGCACAGGCTGGGGTGGATGATAACGCTTGATTTCTCCTCAGCCCTCCAGGCTGTGAACCTCAGGAATTCCCTTTGGCAGTTTCTGACAAGTGCTGTCATTTTAGCTTTCCCAAACAAGGGTCTTTATGTAATTGGGATGCCAGGAATATCTAAATGAAGTCTGGTCCCTGGAGCCTACTGTGCTCTGGATTAGAGGTAAGCTTGCAGTTAATATAGAGTGTATGCAGAGGGAGATGGTTGCCTTCCTATTGCTTCCCTCTAGGGGGGTCCAAACTGAAGGCTTTCAGAAGGTCTTCCCTGTACTTCTGAAGGGGTGTGGTATTTTCAGATTCCTGGGAGCAGGCACCAGCACCCCAGCTCCTTCCAAAGTTGTAGCTCAGTAACTGCAGGCAGGCCTTACGTACTCCTAGTGAAGCATTGGGTGTGTCTGCTTCATTGGACTGTAGGGTTTTTTTTTTTTTTTCAGGCTTTCCTTTCCTAGAGGCTAGGTCCAAAGGGCCAAGTGTCTGGGAATGGGGCTGGATTAGAGAGGGATAGATTGTTGGTATGATTTAGTCCCTGTCTCCTGCTGTTTGGAAAGGAAAGGGTGAGTTGGCAATATGTTTGCAGGTGGGTGAGGGATGCAGTTGCACACATTTAGAATGGTGTCACAGTGCAGGGCAGGCTGGCAAAAGGTGTTTGCTGTGTGGAGCCGGCAAATCACCTGACCCAGTCTGAGGTGCCATTCTCTCTGGGATTCATGTAGAACAAAGCACTTTAACTTTCTTTTAGAAGGTCTATAGATTGGAGTAGAATTTAAGCCAGGGTCTCTTGTTTCTGCCCAAATCCCACTTCAGAGGAAGCGGGGTGAGAGGGGCTAGATATTTTCCCCTCCATTTCCAACTCATGTAGGAGAGGCAGGAAGAACTGGCTTGACTCAGAATTTACAAGTCAGGAGCCAGCAAGAGCTGCCCTGGGTCTGTGACTGGTGTGCTGAGCTGGCAGGGAATAAAGAACATTGTGCTGGGTAGAAAGGGCTCAGACAGGTATGGACTGGCCTAGGGAGTGTTAGAATGGGGAGCCAGAATTTCCCTTTTTTCTAGAGAACCAGAGCCTCCTACACTTGACCTGTACACACAGACACACACACTTAGGCACGTATACACACACATACACACAGCCTCCTACACTTGACCTGTACACACACACACACACACACACACACACACACACACACACACACACTCTTAGGCACGTATGCACTCCACACTCAGCACATACCCATCTTTCTCCTACCATGATTCTGAAATCCTCCTGTGCTGTGTTTGTTTTCCTTGTGTGTATCAGGATAGCCTCAAGCTAGATTATGGGCTCTGAATTAATCATTAATTCGGGGGAGGGGGGAACCAGACAATTGGCGGCATTAGGGCTGTCCGGAATGCCAAAGATTGTCCCATGAAATAGATGTAGATTTAAAAAAAGAAAAAAACTTTACAATCTTTGCAAGGCTAAACTGACCCCACCCTCTCTTCAACAAGCAGAATCACTGGTCAATCCTTCCTTCTTCGGTTTCATACCACTAATACTGTTCCTTCAGCATTCCTATCCTTTGTCCACCCCCTCCTCCCTTTAATGACGGGTTTCAACCCCTCCCCCCCACATGCAATGATGAATGGAGTAAGCTGATGGGGACTGGGTGGGGGAGGCTGGTGTATGTGCAACTTTATTGCCAGTGAATTTCATGCACTTTAAAGTCCTGTGGCTTGTGACCTCTTATCTAATAAATTGTTAGAATCCATTTGAGCAAGTTGTGTTGTGTGTGCTTTGGTGCTAGAAGGATGAAGGACAAGTACAGGAGTAAATTGGGTGGAAGGAACTTCAGCATTCCTTACTCCACTATCCACTGATACCTCATAGTAGGTCATGCAAGCCTTAGGCTCCTGGCTCCAAAGGATCCAAGAACTCCTAGACATTCTCAAACCTTCAGATCAGTTCTCTTAAAATTCCCCCACCTATCCCAACACCAGCCACCACACACAGACTGGAGCTCTGCCACTCTGTTTTATTGGACCAGCTCAGAGTCGAGGGCATTGCAGGCTCTGCCCTAGGCCTAGTGGACTGGGTGAGTGGCCAACAGAACTCAAGAGATGTCCAACACAGGAGGAGCTCACTAGACTGTGGGCACAGCACAGGACAGGACAGCTGATTTGAGTTTTTCTTTTATATATAAACAGATAATTAAAAAATTAGAATAATATATAGTTTCTCTAGAGAGAGACATTGCAAACAAAAATATATATAAAGAATAGGACCTCCCAGACAAATAAAGCAGCATCTCTGAGCGGAGGAAAGAGGGCTCCTCATGCATTGGAGAGGGGGCCTGGCACCAAGGCTATTGCATATCTCAGAAAAGGGTTTAAGCGTAGAGGGTTGGCTAGCAGGGTATCTGCATTATTTCTCTACTTGCAGGGTTTGTTTTTGTTTTTTTATGGCTTTGGCCAAAGCATGTGAAGCAGCGGAAGTACTAAAGTGCTAAACTGAGGCCACTTGGTCTCTGTAAAAATAAAAGGGGGATGGGGGACAGTGATGAAGCAGATGGAAGACATTCAGCAGGGCAAGGGAGAGGCTGGGGGATGTGTATTAGCAGCCTCCTCCCCCCATGCCCTGTGCAGCCCTGCAATCCCACACATCTGTCCCTGCTGATGATGTATGTGGGAAGGGAGGCAGTTCATCTCCCGTACACTCTGTTGTTAATCCCCGGCAGCAGCTGGGACAGAGATGGCAGGAAGGGGCCTGTCTCCACCCCATAAGGCTTCTCCTCTGGGGCAGACAAACAGCCAGGAGCCTGGGGAAGTGGGTGAGCAGGGCATTGGTCTAGGCAGTGAGGCTCAGCCACTCCCTTTGGTCCCATCTGTAGCTCTGCCCACCAAACTTGGCAGGAGGAGAACTCTCTGGGTGAGCAGAGCCAGCTAAGAGGAGCCAAATGTCCCTGATGGGGTGGGATGGGGGTGGGGAGGCAGGAAATGGGGAATTCAGAGGAGTTGGACTTGGTCCTTGAAGCAAGCCCTTCTCCTGATCATTCAGACCTGGATTCCTCCAGGATTTGGGGTAGGTTCTGGTCCCGAGGACCTGGGCCGGTGGCTGGGGCTGGGGCTGGGGCTTGGGCTGGGGCTGGGGCTGGAACTTGGGTGGGAGCTGGTGTGGGGGCAGGGGCCTGGGCAGGGCCTGAAGGAGGTAAGGGAGTTTTGCTCCCAGGATGGTAATCGTGGGTAGCCTTGGGCTCATTGGTGTGGTAGGAGCCCTTGTAGCGATGATTTTGCAGATAGAAGAGCACCAACATTCCCACAAGCCCCAGCAGCAGGAAGGCCACCAAAACTGCAAGGAAGAAGAGGGACAATTCAGCATCGTGGGGTTTGACCTCCACACATACTTAGTCAACATTAATGGTCAATTATGTCCACTATATAAACACTATACAAGCAATTCCTAAGTGTTCAGTAGGTCTAAATTCCTGTGATTTCCTCTGCCAACTTGATTTTTTTTTCCAGTCCTGGGGCTTGAACTCAGGGCCTGGGCACTGTCCCTGAGCTGCTTTTTCTCAATGCTACCATTCTACCACGTGAGCCACAGCACCACTTCTGGCTTTTTCTGTTTATGTGGTACTGAGGAGTCAAACCCAGGGCTTCATGCATGCTAGGCAAGCATTCTACCACTAAGCCACATTCCCAGCCCTGTTGTTTTTAATGCCATTCCTAGGAGCTTGAACTCAGGGCCTGGGCACTATCTCTGAGTTTTTTTTTTTTTTTGGCCAGTTCTGAGGCTTGAACCCTGGGCCTGGGTGCTGTTCCTGAGCTCTGCAGCTCAAGATGAACACTACCACTTGAGCCACAGCGCCACTTCCAGTTTTCTGGTGGTTTCATGAGCTTTCCTGCATGGGTTGGCTTTGAACCATGATCCTCAGATCTCAGCCTCCTAAGTAGCTAGGATTACAGGAGTAAACCACCAGTGCACAGCTATCTCTGAGCTTCTTTTACTCAAGGCTAGCATACTACCACTTAAGCCACAGCTCCACTTTCAGCTCTTTTGGTACTTGATTGGAGAGAAGAGTCTCACAGACTTTCCTACCTGGGCAGGCTTTGAACTGGGATCCTCAGCTTCTTGAGAAGCTACAATTATAGGCATGTGTCACCAGTACTCAGCCCAACTTCTATTTTTAATATTCTCTTTCCACATGCCTGGTAATCATCCCAGTTTCTTCAGCCTTTTAACTATAGCTGTACTTTAATATTTCATTTTAATAAAAAATTTATAGTATCCTCAAACATTAAAACATATCTACCCCATCAGCAAAGCCTTATCATCCTTCTTGGTTTCATCAGCATCTAGTACCATCACCCCTCTTCAGGCTCAGGGACAGGGCAGGGAGGGAATATAGATAGGGTTGTTTTGGGCTGGCATGGTCAGTGCTACTTACAGCCTAAAAGTATGGCAACCCATCCATCATCATGGTAGTATGGGAAGTCTGAAGAGAAGAAAACATAAATTAGAAGTCACATCCCAAATTAATCATTGCCCTTCCTTGTCATCCTCCCTTCCCTCATTTGTGTCCTGGGGATGTACCTGGGGGAAGATACCAGGGATCAAGCTCAGGTGGCACCTCTGAGACCAGACGTGGCATAGCTCCACAGTTAGATTCTGACAGTTCTCCCTGAACTCGCAAGGCCTCAGCTAACTCAGCAGTCATGGGCCGAGGGGTTCGGAAGTGGGTCTTGAGGGGAGCCACATTGTTGAATCGAACACCAGACAGACATCCAGAGAAACCTGGGGTGTTGTAGCGCTGTATCTCCGGGTCAATGACTCCTGTCTCTGAGGGAGAGGCAGACCCAGAAAGAGAAGGGCTTAGACTAGCCAGAAGCCCTGCCCCCTCTCACTGTCCATCTTTCTCACCACAGCCACTTAACTCTAGCCTCCAAAGACTTCACCTACAACTCTTTGGCCCAGACTTACCCTCAGACAAGCTTACCCATCACACGCCCTAGATACAAGGCCTTGGGCGAGTCCAGCTGGCTGTCCACCAGCAGTGAGAACTTCTGTTCTGTCAATGGGAAGTAATCCACCTGAGAGGGAAGGCAGTAAGGAAGGAAGGACAGGGTGGACATAGTCAAGACCTTTATAGAACTCTTAAGCTGCTCAAACTGAAGCTCCTATCTGGGTAAGTCATTGCTCATTCCTGAAGTAGGCCACCCCTAGCCCAGATGGAGGACTTAGTAGAGTTCTAAAAAATCTGTATTGGTTTTGTCTTTTCTCTGTGTGTGTGCCAGTCCTGGAGCTTGAACTCAGGGCCTGTACACAGCTTTTGCTCAGGGCTAGCACTCTACCACTTGAGCCACAGTGCCACTTTCAGCTTTTTCTGTTTATGTGGTACTGAGGAACCAATCCCAGGGCTTTGTACTTGCTAGGCAAGCATTCTACCACTAAGCCACATTCCTAGCCCTGTCTTTTATTTTTGAGATACGGTGGCTAGCATCGCCCAGAGTGGCCTCAAACTCAATATCCTCCTGCTTCCACCTCCTGAGCAGCTGGAATTATGGGTGTGCACCACCCTACCCAATTAATCTGATTTTGAATACTGTCTTTGTGGCTTACTAGAGGTTTGACTTTGAGAAGTCTATTTTCTATTTACTGATGTATCAAATGGAAATGACAGTGAGTGTGTGCCTGCTACCTCACAGAAGTGATGTGAGAGGCACATGAGGTGACACGTGAGTATGTTGGCATATTGAAATGTGCTTGACACATGTTAAGTGTTTTGACACTTTCTTGGGTATAACAACCAAGACTATGAGGCTGAACTGGCGCATCTTCTTCCACACATACCTGAATGAAGAGGTTGCGGTAGACCCGGGTGATGTTCACACTGTGGGGTTGGCCATCAGTAACTGGCCGGGTGGTTAGCTGGTACACATAGGGACTGGTGCCCAGCTGATAACGCAGCTGCAGGGTCCCTGTGAAGTGGGAAGGAGAAACATGAGTTGTCCCAGCTCCAACCCCCATCTTCAGAGCCCTTAGGTCTTAGCATTGCTGAATCAATAGCTATAGGAAGTAGCATCTAGGGGAAGCAAGTCTCCAGGGAGGGAGCCCTTGTGAGGCTTACCATCTTCCTTGATGAGAACAGCCATGTAATCACGCACAAA